GAGCACTCCCCTACGCTACCACAAGCTCTGCGCACATGGAGTGCATGCTAGCTGAGAGTCATGCGTCTCTTCTCTAGAAGTTTTTGTCGGCTAAGGATATACCTTGGCCTTTGGCCACCGAAAATTTTAGTATCTTGCACTCCGAGGTTCGGTAGCGTCGCAGCAGTGCGATCCCCTTCTACATGTCGGTTGCCTAAGTATTCGTGTGCCATAAAAATAGGTAGGATCAAACCAAAATATGAGCGCGCGACCGATGGAGGCGACCCCGCCCGCTTCCGTGCTTGTCCACTCGCTCGTCAAGCTCATCCCGTTCGTGGTCTCGGCGCTGAGCATGGCGATGCTCGTGCTCATGTACTGGCGCTTCCAAGTGCTCGCCAGCACGCTCTCGACCGTTCCGATCGCGTTCGTGCGAATCAACGTCGGCGGCGCAACGTTTCAGACAACAACAGCGACACTGCTCCGACGCCTCGACTCGGTCTTCCCCGTTGTGCTCTCGGCCCCCAACTGGCCCCGCGACGAGTCGGGTGCGTTGTCATTCTCAAGCTAGTATTAACCTTGCAGTAGGCGCCTACCTCTTTGATTGGGGGCCCGAAGACGTCCCCATGGTGCTCGAGTACCTCCGCACGGGACGACTTGAGGCCACCGCACCATGTGGCGACGGCACAGTTGCCAGCAGCCACCACCTCCGGCGGACCTTTGCGTTCTTCCGCCTCTCGCTGCCGCCTGTCTCGCTCGCGTTGCAGCACACAATGACGTCAGACGTCCAAGTCGCTTCGGTCTTCCTCCGCGAACGAGTCTTTTGGGACGTGGACCGAAGCGACACGTCGATTGAGTTTGGCGACGACGCTCAAGTGGCGACTCTGTTGCCGACGGTGATGGAGGATACCGACAATGGAACGTCGCCGCTGCTGCCGCCAACGCTCGTGGGCGCCGATGCCGTCAACGAATTCGCCGTGTGGACGTCGGACATTTACCGAATCGGTCTCGGGATCGCGCCCCGGCATTGCTACTGGAGCCTCATCGAAGACTGCATGTGGCATCATGACGGACTGCTGAGTAGCAATGGTAATGACGACGACGTTGATGCAACGCCCGGCATTTTGCAGCTCCGGTGGGAAGGCAACACGCGCCATGTGACCATCTCGCACGCCGCTTGCGACGACCTCAACAAGTGCACTGTCGATTTCGTCAAGGTGGCGACCGTCCAGACGTACCTTGGGCGCAACGCCGATGTCTACCCCGACATTCGCCTCTTTCCACGCAACGAGACGTTGATGGTGACTGTGATCAACCCGCTCGAAGCCTATTGACAAGAAAAGAAACGTGAGGAATATATAAATACGAGTATTCGAGACGTGAAATGACATGTTTCACGAGTATATTCTATTCATTTGCAACGAGTACGACGTGAAGTAGCAGTAGCATCAATGACAGATCTGACTTGCTGCTAGCATGCGAGTAGGAGAACTGCATCATCTCTTATTTACATGTAACGAAGAACACTCTGTGTCCCACAGAGCGAGTCATATTGACGGTCCCAATCTGTTGTAGACCATTTCACCCCCACCCCCAGATGACATCGTTCCTTGACCGTGCGGCGACGATTTGCACGCCATCGGCGTTAGAGGCGACAATGCATGCCTTCATTACGTCCGCCACGACTATCCGTGTAGCAGCCATCTTATCGTTGGCGTAGGCAAGGTTACAGAGCGCGAGCGATGCTGTAGCTGACAGAGCTAGCGTCGACAGACTGCATCGCTGTCGACACCAACGGTCGAGATTTGCGCCATAGCTTGATGATAGACTAGCACGTGTGCCATCTTTCGTAGTCGTATGTTGTGTCCTTACCGATGGGACGATTTTGTTACAATAGGGTTACGGTCGTCGCGCAAGCGCTCAATTAGCCGTGCGGCCAGACGTGCGTCTTGGCCTTCTTGTTGACGCGCAGCGACGACGGCGTCCGACTGAGCTTGACGTGGTATGCCGATCCGGGTTGCGTCAGCGCGTGGATGGCCAATAGCGCATCGTTGGCGTCCGCAAACTAGACACGTTGTTCATAGTCTCTGGTATCCGACACCATTGGGCTAAACCTTGGCCGACGCGTCCGTGTCACTGTCGACAACCAGCTGCAGTACGTCGAGCGGTGCGAGTGCTTCCTACGCAAACGCGAGTGAAGTTGGCTGAAATGAAAATGGAGGATTTGACCTCGAGCGCGGCCTGGCACAAGGGCATTGTCGGCGACGTCGACGTGATGTGGAGCCAAATGCCTTTGGTTCCGACGCTCTCGGTCGGCAAGGGTGGGGCCATATACATGGGCGGCGCGTACGGCGGGTACCTACACCTCAGTTCTTATACCTGAAAGAGCGCGCCTGTCTCTACTCGTAGACGGGGTAGGCGGGTTCGATCCGCGGGTACGCGCTCGGGTACGCGTGCAGCGGCGGCACGTACGGCCGCGTCGACATCAAGTGGGCGAACTGGCTCTCGACTGCGTGAAGGTCCTAACCCTAAAGGGTTATACATCGTTTTCGATGCGACACTCTACCACGTCGAGGGGCGGTGCGAGGTATGCGCTCGACGGATCCGGGATCAGTTCCAGCGTCCCAATGCTTGCGTGGGCCGATAGCAATTCAATGGCAGCGCGCGCATGTCGCTCGGACGCAAACTTGACATAGACCACCCCCTACCCCATAATATAGTCATTTTTTCCCAAATTATTCGACAAAAATGGTGTTGGGAATACCTTGGCTGCTTTGGTATCGCCACTGATCTTGATGTCCATGAGCACCATGCCAGGGCACGACGACATGCACTGCGACAGCATCGCAGTCGATAGCGTCGCTTCGTACTCGACGAGAAGCCAACTGCGTTCTGGTCTAGCTCTCTCCAATCAGATCAATACGTGGCAGTCGGAGAAGCGTCGTACGGTGCAGCAAAATACGCATCCGGCGGTCGCTGCAGCGTCGGGCGTCGCGGTGGCGAGTCGGCCAGCACCACCTACAGAGATACCATCCAGTCGGATGTAGACAGTGTATTCGCGTGAGTCTACCGTGAGCAGCGACGACGCATCCTCTTGAAATGACTCGATGGCCATGTGGGCGGTCGACGCCTGCATTCATGAAGATGCAGAAGCCGCACAGATGCCGCAGCATCCTACCTTGGTAAAGGCCACGTACGCCATCGTCCGCAGCTTGCCTTGGCACGGGACGAGCGCAACGCTGTCGAGGTCGCCGTAGACGCGAAACATCGCGTCGAGTTCCTGGTGCGTGTACTAGACCAGAAGGATGAGCCGAGAATATTCGCAGAAAGCAATGTCCTGTACGTCCAAGAGGCTCGTGACGAAGAGCTTGACGCGCGCCGGCGGTTGTTTTGGCGGCGCGCGCTTCTTCTCGGCACGCTTGAGGCTACTAGGAGTGTCAGCTTTCAAGCTCACGCGCTTGAGCTGCGCGCGGGCGTCGGGCTCGGCCGATGGCTTGTCCTTGCGCACGTCGGTCGGTGGCGACGGCTCAGTCCCGCGCTTTGGCTGCTTGAAGCGCGTCGACTCTTGGCTAAAGCACTTGCGCTTTACGATCGACGGCTTGGGCGGCGTCGTGGCGGCTTCAAGGCCATCGACCATCTCGGACAAGAGCGCTGCAACAACCGCCTCGACCGTCGTGCTGTCGTCCAAGGTCGTCGGTTCGAGAAGCGCCATCGGTTTGGCGATAACCCGCTGGCCCGCGTCGTCACGCTGGCGCTTGCCGTGATGCTGCGCGCTCTCGTCGTCTTCGGCTGCGTGCTTGCGCGTGAGGCTCGTCTTGCGTGGCGCTGACGCATGCGCAATGCTGACCTTGAAGAGCTGGTCCTCGAGCACGAGGCCGTGCAGCGCGTCGATGGCCGCGGCTGCGTCTGCCGCCTTTTCGTACTGGACGAACGCAAAGCCCTAGAGTGGTGGAGGTAGAGCGGCGAGTGGCATGGCAGGCGCCGCGTACCCGGGACTTGTGGGACCGGTCAACCGCGATGCGCACAGAGGCCACGGGCCCATGCTTGGAAAAGACGGCCTCGAGGCCATCCGCGTCAAAGCTGCGGCCGCAGACGACGAAGAGCCGCGAGAGCGGAGGGAAGGTCGGCTCCATCTCGCTCGCAACGATTCTGCGACACGGGTTTAACTCAAATAAGTTCCACCCAATTTGACCGCGTCAAACGTACGACTTCAAGGTCTCGCAGTGATACAAACCATTTGCAGCTACACCACGCTCGTCGAGTCAGAAGAGGCGGTTGCGCGTAGAGTGGGAAGGAGTCGAACTTGATGCAGGAAGGACGCGATGTGATCGCAACGCCCGTCGAGAGCGTGGTCGATTGCACGAAATACCTATTTCGACCATCGCGTCAAAGAGGTTTAACCTGTCTAGACCCACGCCGCTTTCCGGATACTTTGCCGCCGGGCCTGTGGTGGCATACTAGAATCCAGTGGCTTTTGGACGTGGATTTTCGAAGCGTCCGTATCCGGATCGAGCCAATCGCAGTTTTGGCACACGACCGGCGGGAAGCATGAGCATGGCCGAGGAGCGCGGAGGTCCGTGGAGCGCCGACGCGTGGCAGGCCGGGCGCGAATATGCTTCATACGAGGACAAGACGACGCCATCGCAGCGCGCGTCGGCCGAGCGGCAGGCATCGGCGTCGCCCGTGTACGAAGACGAGAGCTACCGGCGGCCCTCGGCGACGTCCGTGCGACGCTTCCAGCTGCACGAGCCCGACGAGCGGCTCGAGCGCATGCATCGGCAGCAAGACAAGCTGCGCTTTCGTCAGGTAGACTCGTTCTCTTGACCGAACCAAGACTGATGGCATGTTGCAGATGCTGGACGAGCAATTGGAAGAGAAACATGCGCGCAGGGCCAAGGAAGACGCAGCGCGGAAGAAAGAAGAGGCGCCGCAGGTCGAAGAAGGTAGAGCCTCTATATGGCAACCTCAACCACGTTGCATCACACGAACCTCTAGAGCTGCGGTACATTCAGGCCCAGCACATGCGGGCGCAGCAAAAGCTCGGCCACGTCGCGACGCTGCGCCCGCCCAAGTTTGTTCCCGGCGCCAAGTTTGCATCGGCAGGTGGTACGACCGCGCTTCCAGCGCCGCTGCCGGACCCGCCAACGACCAAGACGAAACTCACGATCCAAACCATGATGCCTCCGCCCGCGCCCACTTTACATGCGGCGTACGAACCGTCGTCGCCCGCACGCTCCACAAGCTACCGCCCCTCCTCTACCTACCGACCTCCCACGTCGCCGTACCGACCGTCGTCCATCGCACGGCCAGTGACGCCATCGACGATGCGCTCCGGCAACGAGCACTCGCGCGAGATGCTCTCCGAGGTGCAAGCGCTCCTCGATGAGATTCGCTTCGAGCGCCTCCAGCTGCGCCAAGAGCGAGGTACTCTATATCGCATCTACTTGTCTGGACTCAGCGTGGGCAGAGGTCATTGCGCTCGAACGGCAGCGGCTCGCCGACGAGACGGCGCGGTTCTTATCGCTGCAGCGCTCGTCGCCAGTGTACGACCAACGCCATACGAGCTGGACGCAGTTTGACGCGCACACGCTGTCGCCGACAGCGTCGCACTCGCCCCACAACTGGTCGCCGTACCGGTCGACGCGGGATGCTGTCCAGGCGCCGTCGCTGGCGTCGTCGCCGCAGAGGAATCGCTTCTTCCAGGACCACGAGCCAGCACATTTTCGGACGCGACCCGAGACACCCGTACATGCGCAGGACGACGACGAGGACGAGGCGGAGCTCGGGAACCCGCTGGAGCAGTCGCTCTGCTGCGACAGTACGTTCGTACCGATCGACAAGCCCTTGTCGACGTTCGTGCCGCCGCGCGTGTCGACGCAGCCCGCGCCCGTCGTCTTTGCCAAGCCACCACCGAGTCTCTCGCCACTGAGCTCGATTGACGAGAATGACCACAACCGTAAAGTCATTCAGACCAGCGGCAAGTACAACTGGGATGTCGCCGAGGCCGTCGTCCCCCGTCGGCCCCGCAAGTCGACCACGAATAGCAGCAATAGTAGTAGCAGTAGTAGCACCGACCCGTCCCAGTTGTTTCAAGTCAAGGTGCTCGTTTAATCGGCAGTGTCCGCTTCATCCTATAACACTAATATCGACACTGCCCGCGTCACGGACAGCGCCATGCAGAGCAGCCACCGACGCGGAGAGATCGAGGGACACGACGAGACTTGGCGCCGCGTGGTCGTCGCCTTGACACTTGATAGATAGATAGTTTGATTGATTTATAGATAGATTGATCATCGTGATGTGCATTCTTCAGATTAGGGTTAGGTCATCGATCCAACCTGAGCTATAGTCGTGATTGACATTTAGCGCGGCTCGCACAGCGTTGTTGGAATGAGTCTATTGAGATATTATTTCCTACAGGTTTTTCTGTTTTGTTTACACGGTGCGTTGAGAGGCGGGCGTCTTTTGGCGAGAGTGCGTATTTTTGGTGATTTGTTGTGGGAGGTTTTCCTTCGAGGCTAAGTGAGTAACGACGCCCTCTTGGCCAATCCCGAACGGGTTACGGCACGGCGGTTCTTCCGATTGGGTACACCGCGCAGAGGCAGGAGGTCGGCCAATTGAATTTGCATGCGCGCAGGCTCGCACAGCGTCCGAAACATGAGATCGGAGTTTTTGGCGCAAGAAGGTGATCCGGTTACGGTATCCGGACCACGTGGCAAGCGGATCGCGACCCATCCTCCGTCGTCAAGAACAGGATCCACGCTGCCTCGTAGGAGAAACTACAGTCCTCGAAGCAGTCAAGCTGTCTGTGTGCCTAGAGAAGCCGCTTGTTGCCAGGAAAGCAAACTTAAAAAGGGGGTTCAAGTACATCACAAGTTGGAATTATGACGATCTTCTACTCGTTGCATTCTGGACTAGAGGTGGTAACCCGGCAGTACCGACTTGGCGTCAAACGAGCACGAGCCTTGGTCGAACGACTGCACGTGGGCCGCCATTTGCGACGTGGCGCAGATCGGGCACAGGAGCGTCACGCAGAGGTCTTCGAGCATCTGGATCCCCATCAGATTTGAGCGCAATGCAGGATATGGCGTACCGAGCCTGGAATCTGAAAGACTGTGCGGAGGCGCGACCGGAGCCGGTACATGTACAGCCATAGCCCCAGTGCAAAGACGAGCGCGAGCAAGGTGCCTCCGACGTCGCCGACGATGCAGCCGAGAAGAAAGACGCCGTAGAAGAGTCCTGTGCTGAGCACCTGCGCAATATATGAAGAGGATGAAAAGCCCATGCGGAAGCTGATCTGGGCGAGCGAGATGCACGGGCAGAGCGCACTCATGAGCGCTAGTACAAGCCACGATGATATCGATGCGTCACCACTCCAAATCGTACTGTTGGGGATGCACGAGCTCCAGCAGCCGCAGAGGTGCTGTCGCCACTTGCGCTGAGGAATGCCATTGTGGTCGACGCCGTGGCCGCCTTCAATGTCCGGGTACGTTCCGTCGCTGTCAATGATGATGTCGAGCGCTTCTGTCATCGCGATCGCTGGCTGCATCATGGTCGAAATGAATTTCGAAATGGTTTTTGCGTCGGCGAATAAGCGTTGGCAAAGGTCGTTACGTCTACCGTACATAGCAAGGGTAGCAAGGACAACCAACGCTAACGCCAACATAGCAGCGGCCGTTGAGTGCTTGGCATGCGCGTTGAACGACAGTTGACGAGGTCCAGGTTCCGCGATGTCGAGTTTGCCGATTGGGATGACAAGCGTAATCGTTTTCTTCAAAAGCGGGGATGCCAATACTGAAATCAGTATGGAATCGAAACAGTGCACCCTTTTATGACACAAATATGGGTTCTGACGTGGCACCGTTAGAGACGTCCCAGCCACGTTCAGAATGCATCGCAGCGAAACCAGCGACATTTCCCTCGATCCAGATCACATTCTAGTACGTCGCCACGCACTTCAATCAAGGACAACGATTTTAATCAAACGTATTAAAGCAAGCTTGTGTTCTGGGGGGTTTTAGTGCCCAAACGGGTTCACTTCCTCAGGCGTGGGCTCGCCGTTCTTGAGCGCGATCGCCCAGCTCAGCGACGGCGCGATCGATGCCTTGTTTTCACCAAGGCTGTACGCCATGTGCCCCGCAAACATGAGCGCCTTGTACTTTATCCCGTTGTCGTCGATCGTCACGTCCACCGTGACGTACCCCGGCGGAATGTCTTGCATGTCGACGAGCGGAAAGTCGTACATGACGTCGACGTAATGATAGGGAATGCCTCCACCATGCATCTCTGTGTCGGGCTTGCGTTGCAGCACTCTGTTGGTCATCTTGTCGCCTTGCCACTTGCCTTGGTCGTTGAAGACACAAAAGACGCTGATCCAGCCGTTGAGGTAGCTCGGGCCCGAGCCGCCGCCTTCATGGCTGCAGATGCGGTCCCAGAACGCAGCGTCCGCTTGGCCTTGTGCCGCCGCCACAAACTGGTCGAGAATCGGCGCCAGCATCGTCGTCCACTGCGTCATGCGCACGCCGTACACGGCGAGTTTGTCGAGTCGATGCCGAATGTCTTGCCAATCGTCGACGGTGCCGAGGAGCGTCACTTGTGGAATGCCGCATTCAAGGCAAAATTTGTACGAAAAGTACTTCTTCATCGTGGCCATGAGCACGACGCTGGCAACAACGACGTCATGGTCGGTCGTTGTCGAGAAGGACGGAAGTACCCACTGCTTGAGGGTCGGGTCCACGAGGTGCTCGTCCATCTTGTCGACCATTTGCTTGGAGAGCGCGCCAAAGTCGACAGAGTACAGCGTTCCAACGTCATAAACAACGAGCTCCTTCTTGTCTTCGTGCTTGACGAGCGACGACCGAAGCTCTTCGGCGTTGCCATCGACATACAGACCAAACTGGATCAAAATCGCGAGCCAAATATCGTCCGGTCGGAGCACGAGGTCGTGGTGGTTGTTGTAGGCTTCAATGACACCGCGTACAAAGCCACTTTCAGAGGCAACAACAGGCCCGAGGTGGGTGGCTTGGACAATGTCTCTGCAGCCTTCTTTGGCAAACGCCTTGAGCGTCGTGATGGGCTGACGGTCGGATGGCGTCGCCTTGCAGACGTTGCGCTCCACGGACGAGACGGCAAACGTGACCATGGCGAAGAGAATTGAGAAATGAAAAGCTCTCGGTACAATTCAAATCGCGTTTGAAACGAATGATTGTCCTCGTAAACCCTTTACGAGCGCAATCATTCGCGGTCGACAGGACTCTGTCTCCAACAACCCACTGCCAGTCCGACACAGGATCTTGGGTCGCAGGCAAACGTGTACTTCGAGTCGTCCGCACGCGGAAATACCCGCAGTGAACTGGCGTCGATGGAGCTCCTTGGCTTTTGGGTACTAGGAGTCGTGAGCGTACTTGTATGTAGCTCGATAGGTATTTATGCGAAGTAGGTCACGCGAGTGTCGTATGCAAAGACGAGGTACCGTATATACTAGAAATGGGTGCTGGTTTGCCGTCCGTGATGCGACAAGGGGTCGCTGGCGGCTAAGATCTGATGGAAAAGAGATAGATAGCTACGGGCGCCGAGCCAGCCACCGAGGAGTGGCACCCACTAGCCTACGGCGGCCAGGTCCCTTGGCAGCTACCACCTTGGCACAGACGCGACGAAAATCGGGTGCTCAGCCTTGGCACACTTGATAGCTTGATACTCTTCAGTTGCCCTTGGATTGCCCTCGATTGAAGGCGCGTGTTCTTGTAACGAGGTGTCCGCATGACACACATTTTCCACGGCAAGACGCGATATGGACTGGCTCAAGAAGACGAAGGCCAAGGTGACGGAGAAGGTCACCAAGCACCAGCAGGAGGCGAAGATCAAGAAGCAGACCTTCAAGGGCACGGGCTACTCGCTCCAGGATGCGCCGCCCGCACCCGGGCCGTCGGCGGCCGCAGCGCCGCCGCCGCCGCCGGTAGGCCATGGTCCTCTGCCATCAGCCTGCTCATGGCAGCGATAGAAACGGTCGGCCAACGTGACGGACGAAGAGCGTGCGCTTCGACGAGCGCAGCAGGTACATGCGATTGACTGACGTGCATTGCATGGACGTGGGCGTAGGCAGCGGCGGCGCAGCGGCGCGAGCTACCCGCGCCCAAGAAGCGCACGACCTTCAGCACCGAAAAGGACGACGACGACGACGAAGAGGAGTATGCGCCATGAGCTGCAGTGTGTGGTGACGAATTCACGTCCTAGCGCGGTGCGATCCGAAGCCTTTGAGGCGGCCAAGATGCTAGAGCAGCTCAAGATCGCCGAGAGCGGCTTCAACCCGTACGCTATGCGACATGCCACACGACGTGCTCATCTCCATGGCGACTAACGTTAGGTACCAAGCGACGATTAGCAGCTCGACCGAGGCGCGCGGTGTCTCGGTGGGCGCGACCGAAGCCAAGCCGTCGGCGTCGCCGCCCAAGCCCAGCTCGCCCCGCGACGACGAGTTAGTTCCGGTGGCAACCAAGGCGACGCTTGTCAAGCTGCTTGAAAACATCCTCTCGAACCCCGACGATGTGAAGTACCAGAAGCTCCGCCTCTCGAACGCGCAAATTCAAGCCAAGATTGCCAGCGTGCCTCTGGCCATGGACCTGCTCGAGCATGCCGGGTACGTCATCTTCTGGCACCTACCTTCTCATCGCCACGACATGCATAGATTTGACCGCGTTGTGCTGGACGATGGCGAAGACTACCTGGTGCTCAATGCGACGCGGACGTCCGCAGAGATCCTGCAACGGACCCTCGAGACCCTCGGCCAAACGAGCTAGACAGATCCTAATAGCTTGAAAGCCATCCATATACGAGCACAATATGGATCTGTCTGGTCGCCACTGGCGAATGTGATGGCGTCATCTTACTAATTGTGTCAAAGCTGTCCATACGAATAATGTCTTCTTCCCTTGGAGCTGCACACTAAGAACCGCTTTCAAAGTCCAACTGCAATATGAGGCAACTCGTATCACTGAGCTCCTCGCTATCGATGTCGTCAGCTGCTTCGTCGATGACATCAGTCCCACGCTGCACCGTAGACCACGGCAGCAAGCTGCTCCGACTTGATCAGCCTCCTCTCGCTGTCGACTTGAAACATGCAATGGAAGCAAGCCTGGTACGCAGCGTCGAGGTTAGTTGAGAGACCCGAGATGGCAGTTCGGTGGAGCAAGGCGAAGTTGCACGCGTGATGATACAGCATGAAGTAGGGTACGTTGATTAAATTAAGAGGCAGCTACGCTGGAAGCGGCACGGGCGCGATCTTGCACACACGAAAGTGTTTTCGCGACATGTACTTGTCGGTGATGGCCTTGGTCTGACTCGTATCCGTGTGCAAGACGTTGTACTCCTTCTCGTGGATCTTGTGAAGATGGTGCACGCATTCGAGGATCTGCACGCCGTTGTACTTGCTATAGTAGTGCAAAGTCGGCGTCTATCGAAATGCATATCTGACGTCAGCCATGACAGTCCATAGCACGGTGTTGCGTACCCAAAAGGATACTTCGCTCGTCACGACGCGGCTCAAGTAGACAGAGGCAGCCGCAATCACGGACGGCTTGAATTTTTGGACGAGTGGATAATCGAGCATGGCAAGCTCGGCCACGTACTACATGGGCGATGAGATTTGGCCACTGCGATTGGATTTGTCCGTACATGAGCAAAGTGCGTCTGCACGTCCGTGCTGCAGCCCGCGAGGACAAAGCGCTCGAGAAAGTGGTAGAGATGGGTCGAGCTCACGCGAAACTCGAGCGCGTCGAGAACCATACTTTCCATCTCGAGCATGCGGTCGCCCGTGTACGTGTGGTCCGAGATGTACACGAGATCTTCGACGGTCGGTGCATGAACATCTTCGTACTTGGCCGCGAGGATCATGCATGCGCAGCCCATGAGCTGGAGCTCGCTGCGGTGGAGGGTCATACTCGCCAAGCACCGGTCGACGAGGCAGATGGCGAGGTGAAGCGCCTTGCTCGACACCTTGTACTCTTCACCGACCTCGACGAGCCAGTCGATGAGAATCATACGCATGCGAGCGCTCAGGTCAGTCTTGGCCTCCTTGAGGAAGTCTCTCAGCTGGCGGTGCTTGTCGTCTTCGTCCTTGCGGTGGAACTGGTCGATCTCGCGCGCGAGGAGGTCTGTCTCTCTCGAGTCGATCATGACGACCTCGTCCACATAGACGTTGAGTTCAAACTCCGAGTCTACATACACTGCATGAGCATCTTCCATGCTTGGGATCCTCGTCATGATGAAGCTCGTACTCGACGCGTTCATCTTGATGTCGAAGAGTCGCTGTCGCTCCTGGATCGAGAGCTCGGCGGGTACAGCAGGCGGGGTACCGGCAGGTGGCAGGCGCGCAGATCGCCGGGGCTTGACCGGGTTGGTTCCATCGAGCTTCATCTTCTTGCCACATACCGCTGGAAAGCTCGTCTCGTCCTCGGGCCGCGGATGCTTCATGGCGTCCGTCGGCTCGACCTGCATGGCTTCCCGGGGCTCGGCCTTCATGGCATGGCGGGTCGTCATGCGGAGGTTCGGTCGGCCCTTGTTGCTGATGTCCTCGAGAGCCCCGCGCTTCCGCTTCCGGTCGACGTCGCCCATGTTGCTTGGATCTGCTTTCGCGCGCGGACGAGGCCAATTGCTGACTGACGAACACCGTGCATTGATTTTTATTTTTTCATTTTTTGGATTTCCCCGCTCCACATACAAACACCGAGCTTCATAATCCCGCGTAATTGATCGAGGTGATTAAAAACAGGACGCGCCAAATCCGCCAATCACATCGCGTATACGCACCCACACGGTGTCTCATTGGACATAATGTCGCGGTTCAAACGAAAGGCAACCGGACAGTATCCGGCGACGCGCCAAGGTCGAATGTGTTTGAAACACCGTGATGATATAAATGACTGTGCGTTTGTATAAAAATGAATCAAACAGATGCATAGTGTTGAAAACAGCCCTTTTGAATTTTGGCGCGACGAACGAAGCCATGGCGCCACGTCCAGCGTGCACAGAGAGGAAGAGAGGATCGACATGTGGAGAAACCAAGCGGTTGTACACAAGGGAGTGTAGCGCGGTTCACGGTTTAAACCGAACGGTTTTCCCGCCACAACGCCAGCAGATGGCGCATGATTTCCGCCGGGGTGGTCGACAAGCCAGCAATGACTCGATGGACGAGTTGATATGCTTTGTACAATGGAGTGCTTGCTATTAGCTGTATATGAGCGAGAGAGCCGTCTAGTGCAGAGCGAAGGGATAGGGGCTTTTTTACTCGTTGGACGACTGCCCGTCTTGACCTACAAAGAAACTGGATCGTTGACTCGTAGTAGCTCCTGGACACACTAACTCATACACTTTAGCTTAATCCATAATTTGGACACGAATTATGGACACATTACCGCTTGCTCGCCTGCCGACATATTGGCAGAGAGAGGTTGACGCTCGCCGGACCAGAGTGGTCGCGGATTGGTTGCTTTCGGCTTGGATTTCATCCAATCACATGCGATTCGAAATATCTTGGTCACTTCCAATTCCATGCGCGTTCCGATCGTCGACTGCTTCGGGCCGCAGGCCGCCACGCAGCTCCGCCAGGTAGACGCGTAGCCTCATGCGGATGCTACACGCTTCCTCTAGGCGTGCATGGACGTCGGCTTCTTCTACTTGCGCGGCCACGGCGTGCCCCGGCAGCTCCAGCGTGATGTGTACAGGCAGATGGCCGCGTTCTTTGCTTTGCCGCTCGCCGAGAAGCGCAAGGCGGTCGCGGACAAGAACATGCGCGGGTGGGCGCCCATGTACGAAGAGACGTTGGACCCTGCGCACCAGACGAAGGGCGATACAAAGGAAGCGTACCATGTCTGCCGCGAGTCGCTGCCCGACGAGGTGCACCTCCCGCTCCATGACACATGCAATGTGTTTCCCGACGCTGCCGTGCTCCCGCACTTCAAGACGATCACGACCGCGTACTTTGATGCGATGAGCCACTTGGGCTTGCACGTGGCGTGCGTCATGGCCACTGCCGCGGGCGCACCCGGCGCCTTTGACGCACCCGGTATGTTTGACCGGTACGTCGATCTCATCATCGCTGTCCATCAGCCACGGTGTAGCCCCATGACCGTGCTACGCATGCTGCATTACAACGCAGAAGCGTCGAACCTCGAAAATGGCGTCATTGCATGCGGCGCGCACTCGGACTTTGGCTTGCTCACACTCCTCTCAACCGACACGGAGCCCGGCTTGCAGATCGAGGGCCGTGACGGCCACTGGGTCGACGTGCCATACGTCGAAGATGCCTTCATCGTCAACGTCGGCGACCTCGCAGGTGCGGCACCGACGACAACTTGTCTTCATTTTGACGGCATTGGCAGAGCGCTGGACAAATGGGCTGTTTCGATCGACGCGGCACCGCGTCGTCAACAGCACAGGCCGCGAGCGCTACTCGGTGCCCTTCTTCTTCGAGCCGAATTTCCACTGCAACGTCACGTGTCTTGAGTCGTGCGTGGACGCAGCGACGCCAGCCAAGGTACACCTTTTCGTAGGTTAGAGCTGGCATTTAGCACCATGTCTAGTACCCACCTATAACGGCGGGCACCAACTTGCTCAACAAATACCAGGAAATCCACGCCAGTTATCCGTCGACGGACCATACGGCGATGCCATCGCGTGTCTAAGGCAGGCCTTCTGCGTCTTTGGCCTTCGTGTAGCCGCGCTTTGGTGTACTCGCGTCGCTTTAAGCATGGAATACATTGTATATGCAAAGAGAATGTCATTTGTGCAGCGGGATGGCGTAGCGTTGACTCAAGCCAGGTGAGTACGTTGCACGCGTCAGTGCGAGAACCGCAACCTTGTGGGTATCTCAAGCTGTCTATAGCTCCAAGTGACTCGACTAGTACTGGTATGGTGCCAAGAGCTGGCCGTTGGAACGTGGACCCGTGGCCCTGTTGAATCTACATGCTATATGCACCACACTCAATTACGAGTCGGTGGTTAGCGTTCAGGGACACGGTACAGGGTGACGATAACCACTCTGCATGCCAATCTCGCCGAGGATGCTATGTATTGGGCAGTGGTCGTGCCGGTGTTTGAGAAGGGTTATGGCTGGGATGGAAGAACTTGGGAGACTGAGAGAGCTGGTTTAGCGCGACTCTCGACTCGAGCTACTTCAAGTACGACGTAGTATACCCCGATAGCACTTCAGGACAGATGTCGACGTCTTTTCTTCTAGATAACGCGACTATATGACTTGGAGGGAACAAATAAATAAGAGTTTAATTCGCGTCTAAAACTGAAAGACACGGCTCGGCGGTGGCGGGAGGCGCGCACTGCAAGCGCGGCCCGCGAGGTACTTGAGGTGGTACTTGATCGCGTCTTCGCTCAGGCTGCGGCCGTACGTGGTTTCATACAGCTGCTGCTCCATCTTGGCGGCCAAGCGCAGCACCTTCTTGGAGACGACATTGGCCGAATGGAATTGCTGCGACTTGGTCGCGCTCGAGTGCAACAGCCGGGCAATGATGTAGATGTGGCGCTTGCGGTCGTCGTTGAGCGACGCGCTGCGGTGCATGACGATCGGCATCTTTGTGTGTAGTCGGAAGGCAAATGGAAAATGCAACGCAGGGCAACCACCTTGATGTGTGCTGGGAAACGCACCCAGTGCCACCTGTTTATACCCCATGGGTCAAATTTGACTTGAAGTTTGTATGCGTGCGCGTATCTTTTGAGCAGCGCCTGTTTTTGAGCTCGGGGCACAGACGACGCGACGTTGTCGTTGCGTTGCACATGCTACCACGCCGCCTTCACGCAAGGGTTGGACATAATGTTGATATGCATGCGCTGGAGGGAATCGAACCCGCGCAAGGAAACACGGAGCAAAAGACAACGCCCGTAGGCACGGCAGACGACGTCGCCTATGCACCGCCTGCCGCACCCAACGCACCGTCGATATATACACTCGACAGCGACGCGGGGTCGAGGCTGTGCTTGCGACAAGCCTCTCGCTCTGCGACTGGAGGAGTCAACGAGTCAAGACTGTCACCGACGAAACCGCACGGCTTGAGAGACAGACGTATGTAGGCAATTGAAACGCAGTGCGCAAGGCCGTTGCATCAAGGAAGTAGCGAGTTACTGTCAAGAATGCATAAATTCAATTGAATTTGTGTACGCTTGGCTACTGTGCACACCACGGGGCAGGGAGCATCGAGAGACTGACGAGAGCGATCAAACTACGATCCGACGCGTGCCCCGTCGGTTAACAAATAATGCCCCTGGCGCGAGCCAACGCCACAAAGATAGGAGACGAATCGAGTGCTGTTGGAGAGGATGCATTCCCCGACCCTCTTGCACGACTCGTACGTTTGTTTAGAAGCTGTAGGGAGTCAACTCGGGACGCTCACAGATGTGACACGAGATACTGCGCCACGAGAGAGCTGTGTGCCATGGGTATTGCCATTGTTGTCAGCTCAAATGTGGAGTAAATGGTGAGTCCCGGTATGCATAAATAAATACATTACTAAGTTCATCGTCCGTCAGGTTAAAGCTTGACGACATGGTTGCGCGACTGAAACCGCGTTCGGAACGCGCGGCCCGCGAGGTAGAGCAAGTGGCGACGAATCGCCTCTTCGCTCAAAGCGCGGCCATGCGTCATGACAAACAGTTGCGCTTCCATCTTGATCGCGAGCCCGAGAAGCTTCTTCGCGACCATTTGCACGGGCAGCGCCGTCTTGGACGCACTCGAGTGCAGAAGGCGCGCAACGATGTACACGTGGCGCTTCCGGTCTTCGTTCAAGTTGGAGCGGTGAAACGCGATGGGCATTTGGAGTAAGTGGAGTCGAAATGGTCAATGGACGATCGGGTGCACGTTGGCAAGTGCTCGTGGCGCCAGTTATCACGATAAAAATGCGCTTTTTTCCCGCCACCTCGAAAAACGACGTGTTTTTCGCACTCGCTTAAAGGAAAGCGACCCATGGACCGTGTATTTTATGTCTACACCCATTTATTGATCGCCCATTTTTATCGACACTCGAAGCGTTGGGACTCGACGAAGACATGCAATCGCGCGTCGTGTGCAGCCGTGACGCGGCGACCGCACGACGTGTGCGGTTGTTTTATTCCCATGCGTAAAAATATGGTGGCAACGGCAACGACAACGTGTATCCCCAAACGTTGCTTCAACCACGTGTCTCTCGTACCTATCATTTTTATTTTGCAGCGTTTGAGCGTTTGGGTACTTCTTGCTTGATCAACGTGCAGTGAGGGAGACTTGGAAAAGCTCTTGGTATCTGTATATTCGACGGGACTCAGCGCTTGATGGCTCGGCGACGCCCCATATTTCACGGAACGCAGTCCAAAATGCGGTTTTCAGTGCCGATCTGAGATGGGTTTGCCAACAGGTTTGGAAGGCTGGATCCAACCGAGTGAACCGACTAAATGTTGCTCCGTTGACATTCGCTTCGCTGCGAATAAGATCAGAAAACGTGGCTATGGTCCCACGTCGATGTGTGGCTGGTGTCAAGGTTTCGGTGGTTTGAACTTCCCTAACCCCACCTAAGCGATAACCCCGAGGTAGAGCCTGAGGCGTGAGTTAGTCTTGCAGTTTGTGTGGCCTGTGATTTAGAACTGTTGTGCGAGCTAGTCCATTAACGCATCAGTTATCTATGTTGAGCAAGTTTCAGGCACGCTCCGGCCTGCCCCTTCAAGTAGCTCCTCCAAGTGTAAGAGCAGCCACCGGTGAACCCTAGGTTACTAGTACGTCACCGAGAATAGTCGGGGACATCCGAGAGTTTCTGAGCTGCTTTAGGTATATCTTCTCTTCCCTTGGCCGTCAGTGCGACTTGTTCATCGGCACTGCAGGCGCCACCATCAAGCGTTCAATGCCATGAATGATCCTCCAGGCTGGCCCTTTGGTTATATTCACAGAGTCAGCGTGGTCTCAGCTTCAAAGACACGTGCAAGCGCCATAGAAAGGTGGCAACTTTGCTCGGCACATACAGTAGAAGAAGGCATCGTTTCTCTTGTCGCGCGACTCGACGCCGACGTTCGCCCGCGTCTCTCTCGTAGGTATTCATTTCTGCCTCGTCGCTCGTGGTCAAGGAACCGACGCGGTGCGCATAGACCGTACACTGTCGTAGGTATAAATAAAATGAGATTGAGCGACTTAGAGACGCGTACTAAATAGGACGAAAACACAGCACTTAGGCGGCGCTGCGGCAGGCACGGGATGCGAGAACCACCAAGTGCTTTCGGATTGCGTCTTCGCCGAGCTTGCGGCCGTGCGTGGCGCGGAACAGCTGGACTTCCATCTTGGCGGCAACGCGATGCAGCTTTTGGGAGACGACCGACGTGGGCACATTGAACTTGGCCGCGCTCTCGTGCAAGAGGCGCGCAATGATGTACACGTGGCGCTTGCGGTCTTCGGTCATCGTCGCGATTTGGTGAATCATGGTTCTTGTTGTTGGGGTTGTTGTTGGTTGAAGCCAAAATGAAAAGTGGGTTTTGTCGCCCATGTGCGTCTCGAAGCGACGAATAAAAATTGCGTTTTTATCACCCCCTACCACTTCGTGTCTGGGCGACTCCTGGCTTCTGTGGGAAAAGCGCGCGTTGGCAAAGACATGCGCCATCACCATGGGACGTCGTACGTATTTATGCAGAGCAACACGGCAAGTGTGAGCAATGCGGCAACCCAAATCGAGTTGACCACTGGATATTGGGGTGCTGCTGCACATGGTCTATGCGCCGAGTCCCATCATTCATTCAACAGCGTTCACGTGATACAACGACGATCGATACGAAGCTATCGAGAGCGAACTTGCCTCGTCTTGCTTGCAGCAAGTTGGTGTCTAGATTGGACTTATCTTGAGCTGGCATTGCTTCGCCCAGTGAAATCCGACATCTCACCCGAGCCACTCTTTCTCTCACGCCCACGAACTCTCTCTCTCTCGACCAGCTAATCTCGAAGAAGAACAAAAGGGTGAGTTAGCCATATTCGTCTCTACTAATCGTTGAAGCCCACGGGCCCGACCGGGCTCGAATGACGTGTGCTCCACGCCCCCAAGAAAGGTTGTGTCCAACTGCAAATCAGCTGGTAGACAAAAGTGCTTCTTGATACATGCATGTCGATCGACTTTGGCCAGCAAAATGCCGCCTTCACGACACTATTGCTGGTCCCGAGTCCCGAACTGCTCCGAATAGCCAAGTGGGGTATTGATAAGTAGTGGGGGCGTGCTGTCCCGTCTCGTGGGCATTCCTTGTGAACCTTCTTGGGACGTTCTTCGCACAAAAGATGAAACCACGATCCAGCGGCAGTCGGCACTCGCACGCGCCATCAGCTGCGAAAATCCCACAATTGCAATCGCAAATGACGCCTTTCGTCACAACAGACAACTTTGTTAAATATACACCACGTACACGTACTAGGACACGACACCGAGTCGACATGACAAAACAACGAGCGTCGTCAGACGGAAACGACTTCGACTTGGCTTTTCGTGCTCGTTCGCTTGCACGCGGCATGGGCGAGGGCGACGAGGTGTTGCCGAATCGAGTCTTCGCCCAGCGGCCGGCCTTGCGTCATCTCAAAGAGCTGCTGCTCCATCTTGGTGGCGAGCCGGAGGAGCTTCTTGGCTACAATGGCTGGTGGGACGCGGGTCGCGCCCTTGTTCAGCAGTCGCGCAATGATGTAGACATGGCGCTTCCGGTCGTCCGCGAGAGGCAAGTGCATCGGCCCGCAAGTTTATAAGTGATCCTTCGCCGAGCCTGGTGTGCTGCTGCTGCTGACATGGGTGAGCCAGATGGCGGATGAGACCGATGCGTGTTTATACGCGGCCAATCGCCGCTTGATTGTATGACCAACGTGCAAAGACAAGCGCGTCACCGGGTTTATGCTGCGCTGAGCACGGCTATGCGACCGCAACCCACCTCAAGACACGCCAGCTGGTTGGCCTCATACACGGTCCAAGGCCTTTTGAAGGACTCATATTCCGTGCTGCAACCAGAACCGCAGGAGCCAGACGGTGCTGGAACAAGGCCCAAAGTGGGCCAAAGCACACGAATCACACCGCCGATGTATACCAACTCGGCGAATGACCCAGCGAGCACTGAATAACGCACACTTGACGGCGCATGTCTCGACCAGGTTGCTTGCTCTCGCAAAAGCCAGATCGCAATCTCCACGGACAGCTTCTTCCTTTACTGCTTGCCAGTGTTGTGGTCGTGCTCGGGATGGCAAGCATGATGAAGAATGACGTCTTCTCACTGAACATCCAAAGAAGGAAGGATTTGCTTCGAGTTTTTGTCTTGGCCCTTTGGTGCCAGTGCGCGTCACATCAGCTGGTTGTGCCACAGCATCCTCTTAGTAGAGACTTTGACAATATCGTCGTATCGCAGCAACACCTTTGCCATGCGTCCGTTGACTCCATTTTGAACGACTTCCGTGGCCAGAAAAGGTGCTGATTTGAAGTAGACAGTGCGTCCAACCAATCTAATGACTAATATCGAGGACCGTGGTGCGGGGTGAAGGAAAAACTCGGTGTCGGTGGGTGTAATGCGGTGTCGCCCCTCTCGTTAATGGTGCGAGGTCGTGCTGATGAGCAGAGCCACCAGTCGGCTCGCGATACGTCGTGCGATGGCGAGAAAAGAATTTAAATCGAAATAAATACTAGAAAAAAGACATACGTCGTCTTACATTGGCACGGTGCGCACCCAGCTTTTGCAAGCGCGTGCCGCGAGGACCACGAGGTACTTTTGGATCGATGTGTCGCTGAGTTTGCGGCCGTGCGTCGCGTCAAAGAGCTTTTGTTCCATCTTGAGTGCGAGGCGCAGAACCTTCTTGGAGCGGGCGTGGGGGGGCAGCGGCGCCTTGGACGCGCTGTCGTTCAAAAGCTGTGCGATCATGTAGACGTGGCGCTTGCGGTCGTCGCTCAAGCGAGTGCGCGGTGTGGTCATGGCCAGAGGCATATTGGAGGGACTTGCGTACAGAGAGGGAAAATGTATTGTGATCGAGTTCGGATCTAATTCCGATACGGCAGCGTGTTTTTGCAAGCACACGTTATAACACGCGTAGCCGCACGTTCTATTCCACGCGTTCTTGCCGTTTAGCGGGTCATAGCCAAGGTTTTGCTACGTGCCGGTGCAAAAACACGGCCTGTTATAATTTGCGTGTCGGGGGCGGCCGCTGGCCTAGTTTATGCAAACGCCCTCACAGCAACAGCAGTAGACGCGTATTCGGATTCGCTCGGGATACGCACAAGTCGATTGTGCACCATACAAGACCCAAGAGAGTCTTGGTCCGCACAAAGCCGCGGCAACTTGAAACGCGCCCGACCGTTCGGCGAAGCTTTGCAGGTTAAACAACCGCTCTAACTGGGTAAACGCCAGTATCTAGCGGGTTAAATGGAAAGACGCACACGCCATGAAATGGCGGGCGGGGATCGCAGTGCGTGCTTTTGCAACCGAAAAAGCAAATCGCCCCCTGATCGGACAACGGACAGAATTTTCAAAACGTTGGAGCCTCTCCCCAACACCCATCGACTATCAACCGATGATCTGAACACTATCACGGGATCGCAAGGCTAGCAGACATGGATGAGTTTCATGTTACGCGCACGCTAGCTGGTTGTCACGTGCCAACTGCCACGTCTGATCGAGCGACCAAACCTTTCAAAAGATGACCCCAGCTAGTATATCTCTTCTACTAGTACGATACAAGAGAAATTAGCATCGACGAGATGCACAGAGCGAGAGACGCACCGAACAAGAGGCGTGTATACGCTTTTTTAGCGGGTCGGTGCACGTTTCAAGTTAGGGTAGGGTAGGGTAGGGTAGGGTAAACAACGAGTTGAATTAAGGGAGCAAATTCGTTGGACTTGCCTTGTCGCTCTCGCCCTTGGACATATACGAACCAAGTTGACCTGGTACGTGGACCCATCATGCAGGTTTCAATGCGTCTGCGCGCTTGATGCTTCTTGACGGTCTATAACACTTACGGCTCTCGACTCCTGGGCGTATGTGCCCTAAACGGGTCTCGCTGCACGTTCTTGGTTCGGTCCCAGTCAGTCATTCACCGTTCGCTACCAACAACGTGACGTGGGGATCAATAACCCTGTACAAGACGCAAGACAGACTCACTTTAGCTTCTGAGGCGGGATTAAATAGTACAAAGAAACATATGACGCGGTCAGAGCACCGACTTGCTGCATGCGCGGGTCGCGAGGAAGACGAGGTGCTTCCGAATCGCGTCGTCCGTGAGGGCGCGGCCGTGCGTCGCGGTGTAGAGCTGGTTTTCCATCTTGACCGCGAGTCGGAGAAGCGTTTTGCCCACTTGATGTGGCGGCAAACTTGACTTGGCCGCGCTCTCGTGGAGGAGGCGAGCGATGATGGCCACGTGGCGCTTGCGTTCGTCGGGCAGCGACCGGCGGGCGCGGTTGGGCATTCTCTTCTTCGCAAAAACACAAACTGACGTCGAACGCGCTTTTTTGCCCAAGCGCACGTTTTATCGCACGAGACTGTCTATGTCACCTCGTCTTCATAGACATGCTCGCGACGACTAGTGACCTCGTACCATGTAAGTGCACCCAGCGAGCTCATCGAGAGCGATGAGCTAGGTCGCAGAGCCAAATCCTTCAAGTCGCAACAAGACTACGTCGGTGATTTGTTCAAAAGCATCGACTCCGGAAACAGAGCCAATGATAATAGTTTGCCGACGCGACCACAAACCGAGCGTATGGACGCACACCTGATCTTCGCTTGCCGAGTCGCTTTATGCCCTACGCGCCGACCCTTGGTGTGCTCGCTACCTCATTCCCAACTCAATCCCGAGCCCCGACCACGCGCCCTCAGCTTGACGTACCGGCCAAACCTCACGAGCGCACACTAGGAAGTCCACCATCTTCACTCTATAATTGCATATTAATAACTCATTGCAACAACAACAAGACACCCTGGCACGGCGAGAAAGGGGGGACGAGTTGAAGACGTCGTACGCGACAGAGTGTGCGACGGGGTCGCTCGGTTGCGCTGGGGGGTCGCCGTCTCGGGTGGCACTTGAAAATTCCCTTTCTCGAGACGCACCTCGAGCCGTGGTAATGTCTACCATGATCCAACAAGTGTACGAGAGTACGCTTCTGGCATCTTAGTCAAGCATCGATGACCGATGCAGAGCCACTGCCCAAGAGTAACAGCCACTTGCAGGACATTTTTCGCGGAAAAACGCAATGTGGCGGCAACTATAGCGCTCGCAAACCACTCGAGAGCTAGCTATAATGCCACCCAAGCAAGACACTCTACTGATGCGATATTGAGATACCTCACCGGGTGATGTCTTTTCCGTTGATCCAAACACATCGACGAGATTGAACCGTCAACCACCAAGAAGCGGCTCGCCAAGGTGCCATGCAAATACATATACTGCAGTGATTTGCCATCTCTTGGACACGTCTTCACGGTGTACTCTGCTCTGGAGCCCACACGTACTTCAGACCTATATGTCATCGAGCAAAGTTACGAGCTGCCTATTTCAATCCACTCATTCATGTATCGACAGCGATACTACGGCGACGGTTCAAGGTGGATTGGCCAACCCAGGCGCGCGTGGCATTCAAAAGCCTATGTACAACTTGACCGTTGCCAACGAGGTCACACACGTCGACGTACGCTGTCTCTTGGCGCCGCGCTGTTGAAATGAGCTATGCACTTGCGAATCAAAAGAAACCGGTCATGCTCGTCCTAGAAAGGACTGTGTGGATCTGGAATACTAGTACTGAAGTCGTATATTTGTCCACTGGTCGACTATATATACGCAAAGCCCAACCGCCAAGAGACAACGACCAAGAGTAACCGGCACTAGAGAGTACATTAAAACGAACGCGCGATGGGCACGGAAAAAGTGCAGCCAGCCCACGAGGTGCACGCGCGCTTGAACTCGCAGGTGCTGCTGCAGCTCCAGAAGAACAAGGCGATTCTTGCAGTCGGCTTCTTCCTCAGCTGCATGTGGAACCTTGCGGCCCCGATCAAGGCGTGGGCGCTCTCCCGGTATGGATTCGCGTCCACGTCCGACACGCTTGTGCTCGAGCTCGATTGGAACACGGTCGTGAATGGCCGGTTCCTCACGTCGCTGTACACGTCGGCCGGGATTCCCCTCACGTCGCGTATGGAGAAGACGCGCTACATCAACGTGTTTCTCGACTTTATGGTCGCCCCCCGCTCCGACTTGCGCTGGGTCGCGTCGCTTCTTGGCACCAACGGTACGTTTCAGATGGACGTCGACGGCGTCGCCAAGCGTCTCAGCCTCAACGGCAGCCGTGAAGTCGACCAGTTCAACGTCGACGTCGCCCCGTTTGCAAGCACGGGGTTCCCGCTCTGGGGCTCCGAAGTCATTTTTGACTTTGTCCCTCCGACCACAAAGGACGTTGGTCTCCACGAAGTCAGCGAAGCGCTCTTGTGTTTAAAAGGTTTGGCGCCCGAGGACCTCGTGAACCTCCAGTTCCCGAGCAACCTGCACCCATATGCAAGCGCGTCGGACGCGGCGGCAATCAACATGTGGCGCGCCAAAGTCTTCCCCGACCTGCGGGCGTGCATGGACCGGCGGGCTGCACTTCTGGCATCTGCGAAAACCCCCGCCGACGGGCTCCTCGCGCTGGCGAACGAGCTCGCCTCGCGCTACGACCTCGGTCTGGTCAACATTGCGGGGCACCACCAGTTGTACACGCCGCAGACGTTCTGGGACGGGTTTGTCGACATCTCGGGCTACAAGTCGGGCTCGGTCACGTACCAGATCAGTGGGCGGGACCCGTCGACGGTTCTGACCACGGGCAGCGGGCACTTGGACGCGATCTTGAACCCGCGCGAGACAGCGTGGTACTGCACCCTCCAGTACGTCAACCCGATCTCGCGGGCACCAAATGCGACCGAGTGTTTTGCGAAATTTGCGACCACGTTACCTGCGTTTTTCAACGGCAAGTACCTCTCCGTCCTGGCAGGTACCCGCTACAACGACAACAACGCGTTCGAGAAGGGGACGCCGACGCAACGCATCACACCGTATACGTACAAGCGCCCGTATATTGCCCCCCTAAATGCGATGACGTATGTGAACGTCGGCAACCTCTCTGCGTGGCAGGCGCTTTTTCAAACGATCGTCGCCAACGCCACGCAGACTCCGCGGACGACCTCGAATGCGCTCGAAGAAATGTGTTTGGTCGGCGACGGCTGCTTTGCAACGTGCATGAACTCGTCGGCCAGTGGCGGCACGACCGTGACGTACATGCGGGGGGGCGTCTGCCAAGCGTCGGTCGACACAACAGCGCACGGTCTCGTCGACTTGTTTGTCGATCCGCGTTGCTTTGGCAGCGGCACGTCCCACCTCCAAGTGACGTACCAGTCGCTCAACGGCGTGCGCCACACGCTCGTGATCAACGGCACCGCGGGGCCGGTCGCGATCCTTGCGTGCTTTATTGGGGGGCGCCCCCCCGACACCGAGTACCCGAGCTACGTCATGGACATGCTCGCGCAGGGCACGCAAGCCTCGCTTGTCATGACCAAAGCCAACGGGTCCGAGACGACGGTGCTCAACTTTATCGCGCTCTTGTCGCTGGCCGGGTACATGTATTTTTTCGTCCGGATCGTCGTGTACCTCCGCAAGACGTATACATGGATGCGCGCGATGCCGATAAGCAAGCGCAAGAAGGCGCAGCTGCTCTTTAGCGTCACAAATTCCAGCATCTCGAACGTCATTTGGAGCCACTACCAAACGTCGATGCGCTGCATTGGCTTCCTCTCGTTTCTCGAGTGGCACATTGGTGCGAGCCAAAACCACTGCCATTGGACCGACTCGATCCAAGATGTCTCGCTCGATGCGGTCTACGTCTGCGACGTCGATATTTTTGGCCATTTTGCCAATGTACAAGAACTCGTGCGCCTTGCTGCGTACTCGTGGGTGTTCTTTGCCCTAGTGTTTATGGACCGTATGCCCGGCATTGCGATCGATCTCAAGGGCTACGGCGTCGCAGCGCTTCTTCTGGGCGTGCTTCCCGTCTCGCTGTTCGCGATTCTGGTAGCTGAAATTTGCGTCCTGCGCGCGACCGTGCCAGCGCTGAGCTGGATCCACAACCAGCTCTGGCTCGCGCTTGTATGGCTTGTCATTATGGCGATTTTGCGCTCTGGCGTCTTCTTGCCGTATTTTAAGCTCGTGAAAGCGGCGCTTCGACTAGTGGGGATTGGCCAGCAGCGTATCTCGAAAGCGTCGCCGTTTTACTCGATCATTTTTCGGTATTATTGGTCGTCCACGGACCTGATTCGCGACGAAGAGCTCATTTATGTGCCTCTGAGTATCCTGATGGAGACGCACTCGATCAACGTGTCCAACGTCTTTGACCATCAGTACTTTGTCTACGGCCTCATGGACCTCGAAACCGATACCTCCGACCGCAAACTGCCCTATGTACAAACCGACGGTACGATCGAACATCCCGACTGGATCGCGACGACCGACGAGTATTATGTTCGCATCGCCAAGCGCGACGATTGACTGTAGATGCATGTATTGTTTCGCTTGTACAAAAAAGTACAAAAAATACAAAAAAATTGCATGAAATGCATGCAGACCAAACAATTTTTCGTTGGCACGAGCCCAAGGGTTTGACACGAATACGTACAGCTCAAACTACTCACTCTCGTTCCCAAAATTTTCCCTTTGGTGCTTATCCTAGAGTACATAAACACGATGAGTTTGTGACCTCTTCTTGGCTTATCGTGCGGCTCGCATGGCCGCGGCAACACCTGTTTCAGCGTTGCACTATCCAGTGTAAAAGACACTGTAAATTTGGCCGAGCCTTCCTTGGTCATGCCCTTTCGTCGGGCACCCCGACTACAAGGACCTCTGCGCTTCTCTGGACTTGGATATTAGTATACAGGATGCGATAAGCGATGAGCGAGAGGACTCGATGTGGTCCCGTCGCTGCGGACGTGGTGCAAGAGACCTGAACGCCTCGCTTCTACGACGTGTCCGGAAGCCAAGCCATGATTATCCGGATGCTCTGCATTACACCATTTTCGTCGGCCACTTGTGCGTGACACCAAGAGGACGCAGCAGCATGGGCCTCGAGATGGTCGCCGGGACGCGCGTGTACGTGCCGGACGAGACTCACGTGTGGCTGCCGGCCGACGTCGTCGCCCACGACCCGGTCGCGCACACGGTCCGCGCCAAGGTCCGCGGCCTCGACGGCGCGCTAAGCGTCCGCGACATCGACCTGCGCGACAAGAAGACGCTGGCGCTCATTGCCGCCAAGAACAACGTCGGCGCATCGTCGGCGCTGCCCATGCAGAACGAAGCGGTCGGTGTCGACGACATGATCACGCTCAGCTACCTCCACGAAGCCGCCATCTTGTACAACGTCAAGGCGCGCTTCCTTTCCGAGCTGCCGTACACGTACACGGGCGACATGTGCATTGCGCTCAACCCATACCAGTGGCTACCGTCGCTCTACACGGACGAGATGCACCGCACGTACTTGAACGAGCCCAAGGCGTCGCTGCCGCCCCACGTGTACGCGACTTCGATCGGCGCGTACAATGGCATGCGCACCAGTGGGCGCAACCAGAGCATCCTCGTCAGCGGCGAGTCGGGCGCGGGCAAGACCGAGACGACCAAGATCCTCATGCACCACCTCGCGGCCATTGCCGGCGGCCTCCACGACTCGACGATCGAGAAGATCATCCATGTCTCGCCGCTGCTCGAGTCGTTTGGGAATGCCAAGACCATCCGCAACGACAACTCGTCGCGCTTTGGCAAGTTTACGCAGCTGCAGTTTGATGCAAATGGCACTTTGGTCGGCGCCAAGTGCAACACGTACCTCCTCGAGAAGACGCGCGTCGTGTCGCACGAGCCGCCCGAGCGCAACTACCACATCTTTTACCAGGTACATAGTGATCCAACTCGACTTGCGCGAAGATGCATGTACTAGCTCCTCGCGGCCAATGTGCCCGAGTGCCTTCTGGACCCGAGCACGACGTATGCGTACACGGGGGCGACGACCGCGACGGCCATCGAAGGGGTCTCGGACGCCGCGCATTTCGCCAAGACGACGCAGGCGCTGTCACGGCTCGGGCTCTCGCCGGCCGCGCAAACGACGCTCTTTCAAACGCTTGCTGGCATTTTGCACCTCGGGCAACTCCAGCTTGAGGCCAAGGGCGATGACATGTCGACCATCAGCCATGGCTCGACTGGCCACCTTGTCGCGATCGGGAAGCTCCTCGGCGTCGAGACGACGGCGATCACGCGGGCCATCTGCTCGCGAACCGTGCGAACGTCGACCGACACGATCCAAGTGTATTTGAAACAGGTACCTTGTCCATGTTTGTATTTGATGGTATTTTCAAAATTGTCAAAATTTCGAAAATGTCGGAAATGTCGAAATATTGGAAAACTGGACCCATTGATACTAAAACATATCTTTGTTTAGGCTGAAGCCGAAGGCTGCCGCGATGCACTTGCAAAAGGACTGTACGCGAGTCTCTTTGAATGGCTTGTGGCAACGATCAACGCGTCACTGGGCCACGACGCCAAAATGGCGCATCACATTGGCGTCCTCGACATCTTTGGTTTCGAGCACTTTACGACCAACTCGTTTGAGCAGTTTTGTATCAACTACGCCAACGAAAAGCTGCAGCAAAAGTTCACGCAAGACGTCTTCAAGACGGTGCAGATCGAGTACGAAGACGAGGGCATTCGGTGGGCGCACATCGCGTTCCTCGACAACGCCGACGTCCTCGCGGTCATCGAGTCCAAGCTCGGGCTCATCTCGCTTCTCGACGATGAAGTCATGCGGCCACGGGTACGTCACATCTCCAAATCTCAAAAAATTGTCCAAAATTTCGAAAAATTTGGAAAAAATGATGGAAAAATCGTATTCATTGGCCACTCACCGCCATGATTAGGGCAATGAAGAGTCGTTTGTCGCCAAGGCCATGACGCTCCACAAGGATGACGCAAACCCGGTCATTGAGTTTCCAAAGACCAACAAGGCGCAGTTTACGATCCTCCACTATGCGGCACCCGTGACGTACACGGTGACTGGGTTCCTCGAGAAGCACAAGGACGCGCTCTTGCCCGACCTCGCAGACCTCGTGCGGTCGTCGTCGATTCCGTTCGTGTCGGAGCTCTTTGGCAAGCCGGCGGCGCCCCGCCAAGGCCGGTCGCTCAACACAACGACGGTGGGCATGCAGTTCAAGGCGAGCCTCGCCGACCTCATGGCCAACATTCAAGCGACCAATGTCCAGTACATTCGCTGCATCAAGCCCAACGCGCTCAAGCAGCCCGGCGTGCTGGACCATACCATGGTGGTGGCGCAGCTGCGGTGCGCCGGCGTCATTGAGGCGATCCGGATCGCCCGCGCCGCGTACCCGATTCGACACACGCACGAAGCGTTTCTCGACCTCTACCGCGTCTTATTGGACCGGAAATTTGCGGCCGCGCGCCCCGCCGAGCAGTGCGCCGCGGTATGTTTCAATTTTACAGTGGCAGAGTATCGATGTATCAAGTTAGCTCATTGCACCGCTCCACCTCGAGACGCCGGCACATTACCAGCTCGGGCGTACCAAAGTCTACTTTCAGTCGGGCGTGCTCGAAGCACTGGATCAAATCAAGCGCTCGCGCTTGACGGTGCACGCACTTGCGATTCAGCGCTTTGCGCGCGGGTTCCTCGCGCGACTGCACTACAAGCGCAAGCGCATGGCGATCGTCAAGCTCCAGGTGCGACTCGATTGCACTTGAAGCGCGCGCATTCAGACACGCGTCTAGGCGGTCGTGCGCTGTGTTCTTGCGATGAAGCGGTACCATGCACTCTACAACGGTATGCTGGCGCTTCAGGCGCGCTGGCGCGGCGTCAAGGCGCGGCGCATCTTTGCCGTCATGCAGCGCCGCCACAAGGCGCTCATTGTGCTCAGCCACGTCCGTGGGTTTGCTGTCCGGTACGCCCGTGGTTGTCACGTGCGCGCACTCACGGTTCGCGTAGGCAACGCTTTTTGCGGCTCAAGCGCGCGGCGACTACGATTCAAGCGGCGATGCGCATGCACTTGGAGCGCAAGAACTTCCAGACCAAGCTCGCCGAACACCGCGATCAAGTCAACATGTCGACGCAGCTCCGCTCGTTGCGCGTGCGTCTCCAAGTCGAGCAGACGAAAGATCAAGAGGTTGTCGTCCCTGCGCCGTCCACCGCAGTTCTCAACCGGAACCGGAGCAAGTCGAGTGCGCAGCTGGTCATGGCCGACGCCGATGGCATGATTGGTCGGATCTACGATGACAACGCGCGTTTGCGCAAGGAGAATGACGACATGAAGACCATGTTCCATACGATGCGGGACGAGTGCGACAAGCTCAAGCAGGAAAAGGAGATGCTACTGGCGACGCACCAGCTCAAGCTGCGCCAGCAAGACGACCTCGTACACACCTGTCACTACACTCATAGACCTAAACCACGTGTGTCTAGTCGCGGGAGAAGGACAAGACGATCGCGCAGCTCCAAAAGGACCTCGAGAAGCTGCGCGCGCACAGCGGCCTCCCGTCGGCGCCAACATCAGCGTCGTCCAAGCCAAGAGGCTCAACGTTCCGCACGCTTGGGTCCAAGAAGGAGTCGAGCAGCAGTCAACCGCGCGACTCCCACGCGCTCCAGGAGCTCGAACAGGCGGCAATTTTGTCGGAAAAATCCGCAACAACGACGCAATTTCTGCAAGATTCGGCGCAGAAGCTCTCGACAGCACTCGACGTCGACCCGACGGCCACACGCCTCGCGCTCTCGAACGGCCTCGTGAGTGCCCGCACTGTCCGGTACCTCTCATTCGATGTGATTGGTGGTGGCTCCATGCGTGTCATCCTAGCGCGTCACCGGCCGTCTCGAGTTTGCGGGACCGCCTCGCCGGGCTGCGCAACAAGTACCACAACATTGACCTCGGCGATGAGTTTATGCCACGGCCGTCGGTCACCGACTCGGTCTACCGCGGCTCGATGATGCACAGCTTGATTCTTCCGCCGGGCTGGGAGATGCGCATGTCCCGCACGAAAGGCCGGCCGTATTTTCTCAACGAAGAGCTTCGACTGACGCTGTGGGACCCGCCAACCGAAGAGAACGTCGCGCGTGCGATGCGCAAGCGCGATAGGTACGCCGCAGAGGTATAAAATATGGCTGAACTTCGGTCTAGTGCCGGCCGACAGAGTATGGCGTCGACGACGAGTGATGCGCAGTAAGCAAAGAGGGAATCGAAACAGAAGGCGATTTGTCGGTGCCAACACGCCTGGTATTGTATACGAGACGAAGGACGACGTAGATTGTTGTCCTATCCGTATTCATGCAAACTGGATCGTTCGAAGTGGTGAGGTGGAACTGGAAAGGGCTGTCGATGAACGTCAACCGCATGAAGCAGCGGCAAGCTACCTTTAGCCATCCTGACCGTAGTTGTCAGTTGGGTGTTGGATAGATAGATAGATAGATAGATAGATAGATAGATAGATAGATAGATAGATAGATAGATAGATAGATAGATAGATAGATAGATAAGTTCATTTCCCAAAATCGCTGGTTTGGCGGATGTGCTGGCACGCTCACAGCGCCTCGATTTGTTTCCAACATGTTGTTTTTATCGTTTCAAACATCTGTTTTAAACTCAAACGATGCGAAATCCGGATACTAGTCGCGCAATCCCTTTGAGTTTGACCATGGCCAGCCCTGCACCACGCGCTGTGCCCACGACGTCCGGAGCCTTTAGCATGGTTGGTCCACGTACCTTCTTGTAAAATCATCTTTTGTTCGCATTGTGCATAATGTACGAAGAAATTTTGCTTTTGCGGCTTCGGTGGTCGTCGCACTGAAGTCGGTCCGACCCCACGGAAGTCTTGACCACGCGAGTCTCCTATGCACTGTATATAGAAAGCCGTCTTCTTTTGAGGCCCAACGCTCCGCTTGCGTGTCGATAGGACTGCGCATGCAGTCACGGTAGCGGTTGAAGTGTTGGAATCGGTTGCCATTGTGTTATAACACGACGCGCAATAGGATTTCCAGATGTGTCCGCCTCATAGAGGACACACGCGGTCACCGTCCCTCGACTGCTATCAAAGCAGCGAGCCTCCGCTCGAAACCTCTTTCATTCGTTGTAACATAGCGTTGGGCACCCCAGTACCGTCAGAAAAGTCGTCGGGTGCTTGAGCGCACGTATCGCGTCACAGGATTCTAGCATCCCACGTCACACCGACGTGTTATAACAACCATAGTGTTCGAACCCTGGGGCTCGGAACGAACGTGGATTTCGATGGAAGTCGCGTCAGATTGCCTTTTGCCACCAAGAACTTGTACACGATGAGCTGCTGCCCGCCTGGCTCCCACCCCGCTGCGCCGACGACGAGCGACCTTGCGCCCATCAGCATGGCCGGCACGCCCGTCTTCTTCTACGACAACCCGAGCTCGCACACGTGCGTCCTTGTCGTGCCCGACATCTATGGCCCCGACAGCGGTCGCACCAAGGACAACTGCCGCGCGCTCAGCGCCCACTACAAGGTCGCGCTCCTCGACGTCGTCGACGACTACTTTACGGCAGCGGACAACGTCGGCGAGAAGCTTGCGGGCTGGGTCACGGCGCGCCCGTTTAGCGCGATCCTGCCCAAGATCCAAGCCGCGGTCAGCACCCTCCAGTCGCAGCACGGCGTGACCAAGTTTGCGGCCATGGGCTACTGCTGGGGCTCGTGGGTCGTCGGCAAGTACGCCGCCGACGCGTCGTCGGTGCTCACGGCTGGTGTCCACTGCCACCCGTCGTGGGTTCTCGAGCAGTTCTTCAGCGGCCCGGGCAGCGGCGAAAAGATTGCCGAGCACATTACGTCGCCGCAGCTCTTCCTCGCCGCGGGCAACGACCCGGACTGGGTCAAGGCCGGCGGCGCTGTGCACACGACGCTCGCTGCCAAGCCGTTTGGCGCGCGCTGCAAGTTTGTGGCGTTCGAAACCATGGTGCACGGCTGGATGTGCCGTGGCGACATTTCGAACCCCGCGATCCTCGAAGGCTTCAACGCGGGCTGGCACGGCGAGATCGTCCCGTTCTTGGCGGCCACGCTGCAGTAAT